AGGATCAAGCTGTTAACTGACTTCTTCACTGTTTCAGTCAGCAGAAAGGCATCTCTCAAAAACAGGGAAAAGACATATTTTGGTTACTGATTGTATCTTAACCCATAGGTATTTATGATTTAAATATAGAAAATCCTCATCGTTTGTGGGTTCTGTATTTGCAAATTCACATGCTCACTAAAATGCATCTGTAATCCCCAAATCAGTACTCTCGATGCTCTCACGGGCATTCACTGACAAGTACAAAGGGTGGTAGATTTGAGTCACTCGGACTGTATTATAAACAGATGTCCTGTTCGTGGTCCATTTAAAATGGTGCCCAAACATAGTGCTAAAGGGTCATCTGGTATACCTAAATGCTGTGTATTAGATAAACTTCATTTGGGCATGTGTTATAGTGCATTTGGCTGTGAGTTCTATGTTAATAAATCAACAATATGTATTAAATATATTATTTCAGCATGTAGTAAATCTATATTAAATAATATATCTTTAGATAGAAAAACATAGAAAACAAGGTCATGTATTAATCAGCTGACAAAAATGTGACCAGAGGTTTGTAGAAACTGAATCCTATATTCCCCCAAGGAATGATAGCTCCATATTTGCTGATTTAGTGTTCATGTGGATGTTATACATAATTACTATGGGGCCAGCTGGTGGTGTGGTGGTTAAGACAGCTATATCCCACATAGCTGACTGAGGGGTTTGAGTCCCAGACCCAAAAGCTTGAAAAACATACCACGTGCATGTGCAAGAGTGCCCAAAATCCTGAAAGGAGGGAGAAATGGAAGAGAATGGATTGCAACTTGACCATTCCCCATGGATGGGGGTGGGGTGCTTCCTCACTTTTCCTCTCTCTTTCTTTCCCTCTGTGCATCTCTGTCTGATGAGGGCATGTGTCATCTGGCAAAAAGTTTCTTAAACAAAGACAGCATAATTACTACGAATAACAGAATGGACTGTATTTGGAAGCTTTGAGTGACACTGTTGCATGTAGTCTCCACTTTTTCATATCAAATGAGACTCAGAAATGTCCAGCTGTATTTGGGGCCAGGTTTCAAGTAAGTTAGGAGTTATATAGACTTGGATGAGAATGAATGACTTACATCTGAGGGGCAAAAGGGAAACCCGGCCATTGGCTATGGGAAATATGGCCATAAGATCAGTGGAGATATGAAGGAAGCTGAAGAGAGGGAACTGAAAGTAGAGGGGAAAATGGGTATGTTCACAGTGATGCAGAGAGCCAGTGCCCTGGACAGGGCTCTTAATGATGGGACATGTACGTCTGTAGGGCATTCTGCACTACGCCTTCCACTCAAGTCTGGAACAAGAAAATGAATCTGTGTGAAATGTCATCTGACAGGCAATAGGGTGAGATCCCAACACTTTCTGCAGAGCCTAATGATATCATTTTTATGTAAATCGAGCCTGTTTATTTGTTCTTCTTGCCTTGAATGAGGTCATGATGCTTTGGTTCATGGCTACCCAAGAAAGATCATTTTTATTTTAGATAAATAACATCTGTGGAAATGTTTCTTCCACCAGGGGCATTTGCATGCACTTGCATTAATAGACTTTAATAATCTATTTACTATGCTATGGCAAGAGAAAGATTTTTACTAGCTACTGTAGAGAAACGATGTGTTCTCATATTCATACATATGATAATTTGTTTTATAGGCAGAAAATAGAGTTTACAGTTTAAAATAAACAAATCATTGCTTTAAACAGTGTAGGAGAAAGTACACTACTTCAAAAATAATTGCTTGTTTACATGCATTTGCTTGTTGAAGACAAAAGACGGAAATGAGAGCTCCTCCATCATTAGCTGTTCTGTGAGGAAATGAGGAAGTGTGTACAGGGACCCAGAGCAGCACAGAGAATTTCCCATAATGCCACGTGGACATGATAAATGGTACCACTTTGCCACTTAATGGTATATTAGATCAATACGGCATCTAAGTTATGAGCTTCAGTTAGAAATCACAAGACCGATGGAAAAGTATTTTTTAGGATCTCAGAAAAGATTCTCAAAACTTTAGAAAAAAAAGTGTTCGTGAAATGTAGCCAAGTTACATCTTCACACATGAAAAATGTACTATATTTTTCTAGAAGTTTAAAAATTATTTGGAGGACCAGGTTTTTTAAAGTAGTGTTAAAACCACATCGAGCTGCTGTTAAACAGTAATAGGCAAACCCCTTTCATATGTTTCTTTGAGAATTAAATAAAATAAAGCACCTAAAATACACAGCACAAAATTAATACAATATATTCAATAAGTATTAGCTATTACAGCAATATTGTTGTCACAGTGAACGTTAAAATAGTATTACCATATATAGTTGTCAAATTGTCATAATGCAGCATTCATTTTCTTCTGCCTGTCATTGATACAGACATGCCACTCTTGGAAATCCCTAGAACCAATGAAGCAAAAGATAGGAAACAAGGAGGCAAAGGAAATTTTTTTTTTTCTTTTTGTAGTTTTGGTTTTATTGGGGTTTAGGACATGGGCTGGCAATAACCACTTTGGGCATGTCCCTCTCCCCAAGGAATGACTGTCCATTCAAATTTTCCTGGGCACGTTTTTGAGAGCGCTTTCTTTTTCTTAAGAGTTGCTCTTGGCGCCAGCAGCCTCTTCAGGTCCACTGCTGACTGGCTCCTCCTTGGAAGAGAATTTCCTTTTTCTCTTGGGGACGCTCCTGTTGGCTGCCTTTTCAGGATCACTGACTGTTTCCTCTTTTGGGTGAAGATTTCTTCCTCTTGGGGGAGATTTACACTATCAGCTGTTTCTTCAAGATCACTACTAACCCCTTCCTCCTTGGAAAAAGATTTCTTTTTCTTGGGTTTGGGGGGAGAGAGAGCTGGGTCTTTCATTTCATTCTCCTGAGGAACCTCCTGGGGCTTTTGCTTTTTCTTCTTTTCGTATTTTTCACCCGTCTCCTCACACTTCTCTGAAGTCCTGCTGTTGTTCTTCAAGATGCCAGGGCAAATGCAGCCAGTCATTTTTTTCTCCTTCAAGCATTTCTTCTCCTGTTTCTCCAGCTTCCTCGTAATCTCGGCAGCAGCTCCCTCTGCCCGAACCATTGCTTCCTTCATGATATCCAGATTCTTTCGAGGAACTCTCCAGTTTGATAGAAGGAGAGCCACTCTTCAGCTTGTTCTTGAGGCTTCTCCTCAAAGACACTTGTGGGCACCTCAGAGAAGCAGTCGATCCGGGAGGCAACGCTGCATCTGTTTGCCAGGTATCAGGAGACACGGCCCAGGCATCAGCACCTCGGCCCATGAAGGTGGAGTGGAAAATTAGTCCATACTTTGGAGTGTTACCCCTTGTCTTCAGGGCCCTTCTGTCACAGATCTGGAAACTTGGTCCCTTTGCTGGGCTCTGGAAATCACTCAGACACCAGGACTGGCCATCACTCCCATAGCAGAGTCCTGTGTAGGTCAGGAGGGGAAAAAAAAAATTGATAGCTACAAAGATGCTTTTCTGAATGCTCCAACACATTTCCTATAATGAACTATATGATGGTCTACGTTTGTATCTGTTTCATTAGTTGGTAATTAAGATTCAGAGATTAAGAGCTGCTATAACAAGCAAGTTCAAAATATCAGCGGCTTAAAAAAATTAATTTGGGGGGGTGGGGGGTGGGGGGGAGGATGCTACTGTATTGCCCAGGCCAGCCTTTACCTTCCAATCCTCCTACCTCAACCTTCTAAATCCCGGGATTACAGGTGCACGCCACTGCATCTGGCCTCTAAGACTGAACTGGGAATAGAACTCTGGCCTCGCATGTGGTCTCAGCCTGTGGAGCACACCATCTTAGCAGTATGCACCCCTGGAGCTGAGCCAAGATTGATTTATTACTGATGCAACAGATGTGTAGAAGTAGGGTGGTTCTTCTGTGGGTTCTCCTTTAAATAGTTTCTTGCCTTTTGTGGCAACCATGGTCTCAGTGGAAGAGAATGCATTTGCATCCTTGTTAGGGGGCTGTATGGCCAGGCCTAGAAATAGCAACGTAACTTCCGTCTTGCTGTCTTTAGACCAGAAACTGGTCCTAAGGCCCAAAGTAACTGCAAGGTGTTCTGGGGAGTGTTGGATTCCTATTTTCACAGGGAAAGGAAGTAGGATATGCTTTCTTGATAATTCAAAGATGATCAAGATTTAAAGTTCCCAGTATGCTCAGTTTATTCCTTAGCATGTTATTAAATAGACTACACACTTTATTTCAAGAGGAAAATAATGTACATTTGCACCATAGCATGTTCTAGCCTGCATGCTGAGGTTGCAGCTGAAGTTACAAGACTCCCATGAAGCTTCCTGATCATCTCACCATACCCTATAGTGTCATCTGATCACAGTGACTGTAGTGATAGTTAGCAACTATTTCTTTGTATTCTTTCTTTTTATGCATTATATTCATTTTCTTCCTATTAGACTCTAAGCCTCCTAGGTGTAAGAGTACAAGATAGTCACCTTGCGTGGAGTGGTAGTATGGTGTAGTCTCAGCGAGTATCCTATCGCGTAGTAGCCAAGGGCGTGGACTCCAAAGTCAAACTGCAAGAGTTTCAATCCTGGCTTCATTATTTGCTAGCCATTTACCTTACCTAGTTATTAATATCTAACCTTTTTCTACTCCAGTTTCCTCACTTAAAAAAAATAAGCACACTCACTAAAGTACCTACCTTATATCTTTGTCATGGGAATTGCACATGATAAGATACAAAGCACTGAGAGTAGAAAGCATTTAAAACAGGGGCTGGGCAGTTCTACAGTAGTAAAAATGCAACTCTACAAGGCAGATCCACATGGGTAGGTTCCCAGTTTGGGTCTAGAGACCTCCCTGGGCACAACAGGCAGATGCCTGCCTGCATGCTGGGGCTGACTGAAGGCCGTGTTAGATTACAGTGTCAAGACCCTGTTGGGGGTGTTATCTCTCTTTTCCTCTCCTTTTTTGATCTCTCTCTCACCCTTTTAAGGAGAAAATAAGTAAACTTCTTTTGAGAGTTTTTGGGTTTTGTTTTTTTGGGATTTTTTTTGTCTTATTTTGCTTTAAGGTACATGCATTTGCTGGAGAAATAGCAAGAGACAGAGAGGAGATGGCCACACCAAAATTATTTCTTCTCCATGCTCCTCTTAGAATTTTGGGCACGCATTTACACACGCCCGACGTGATTTTTAAGTCACCAGATCAGGGACTTGAACTGTGGCCTGCCATATGGGAGTCCAGTGCTTCAACCACCATGCCACCTGCTGGACCCCCATACCCCAAAAGAAACTTTAAAAAAAATTACATAAGGGCCAGCTGATGATGTGGTGGTTAAGGTGGTTGTATCTCACATGGCCAACTGAGCAGTTCAAGCACCAGATCTAGCAACTTGAAAAACATGCTGGGCACATGTGCATGCATGGCCAAAAATCCCTAGAGAAGGTTAGAGCAGAAGGGATAATGATGTGGCCCTTCCACCTGGGGCTGATTTCTCATTTTTACTTTCTCTCTGTCTCTATCTGGTGAGCCCATCTGCCCTATAGCAAAAACTAAAAAAATAAAGCATTTAAAACAGTATGTACATCCACAGGAGATATTAAATATTATTTATACCATCAAGAACTATCACATTATATCCCTGAATCCTGTACTGCAGCTAGTATCTAGGCCTGCCCATAGGAGGGCACAAGAAATGTTTTAAAAGGAAATCATGAGTGCTTTTCACTGAAGAAGTAGAGAGCCTTCTACTTCAATACAAGGGAGGCTCTGACAAATCCTTCTCCGATGTATTTCTTCCAGTCCACACAAAGGCCAACATTAATTAAAATATAGGACCATCCCAGTAGCCTAGTGGTTAGAGGAGCCAGATCCCACACGGTTGACTGTGTGGTTTGAACCCTGGACCTAGTGGCTTGAAAAACACACTGGGCACATGTGCGTGTACTCCCAAAATCCTGACAAGATGGTAGAAATGAAAAAGAAGGGATTGTGGCATGACCATGCTCTGTTGGGGAGAGGGTGCTTTCTCCTTTCCCATCTCTTTTTGTCTCTCTTTCTGTGGTAAGTATATGTACCCTCTGGCAAATTTTTTTTAAATGAGTTTTTAGTCACATTTAGGAACCAATGGTAAAATATGAATAAATCTGTCTGTGGTGTGGTAGTTAAGGTGGCTGTATCCCACATGACTGATTGCACTGTTCAATTCCAAGACCAGATGGTTTGAAAAACACACCAGGCAAATGTATATGCATGCCCACAATCCTGGAAGGAGGGAAAGATGAAGGAGAAGGGATTGTGGTGTACCTACGCCCCGTGAAGGGTGCTTTCTCACTTTCCTTTTCTCTTTCTCTGCCTCTTGCTAGTGAGAACATGCACCCTCAGAAACATTTTTTTAGAAAAAAAGAAAATTAAAAAATGTGAATAAATCTAGAAAGATGACATATTGGCTTAAATTCACATAATACGTTTTCATTTAAGTAACAGAATTCACTAAACTTTAAGCAAAATACCTCCTAATACAACATCCCTAAAAAACATTTACCATGTTTAAAGTAATACAAAATTGTAAATGTTTTAGGCTTAGTAGTTATAGAGTTTCTTAGTGGCCATTGAGTCTCTGCTGAAAATCACTGCCTCTCCATTGAGTCAAAAGTAGTCATAGATAATCACGTGAAAAAATGAGACTGGCAAAGTTTCAGATGTGATTTTATAAGTATAACTGAGCTCTTATGAACACACACGTGTGTGTGTGTATGTGTGTGTGTGAGGGATGACCATGCTGCAATCCTTCCTCCTTCATTTTCTTCTTGGGATCTTGGGCATGCATGCACATGCATCCAGCGTCAGTTTCAAGTAACCCGGTCCAAGACAAATACAGTTTTTTAAAAGTTAACTAGCTGGGGACCAGCAGATGGTGAAATAGCTATGTTGCTGAACTCCCATGTAGTTGACTATGGTTTGAGTCCCAGACCCGGCAGCTTAAAACTCATGCTGGCACATGTGCGTGCATGCCCAATCCCAGGAGGATAATGGAGGAGAAGGGATTGCAGCATGGCCATCTCCACCCTGAGGGTTGATTTCTTGCTTTCTGTCTCTCCCTGTCTCTCTGGCAAGCACACATAGAGTACAGCAAAAATCTCTGCAAGAAATAAAGAAGTTTAACAAGCTGTTACCTGCTAGTGACACGGTGATTTAGGAGGCTGTATCCCATATGGCTGACTCTGTGGTTCAAGCCCTGAACCCAGTGGCTTAAGAAACACATTGGGTGGGACCAGCAGTTACCGTAATGGCTATGTCATTGAACTCCCATGTAGTCGACTGCGGTTCAAGTCCTGGACCCAGCGGCTTAAACTCATGCCAGGTGCGTGTGCGTGAGTGCCCAAGATCCTGAGAGGAGAATGGAGGAGAAGGGATTGCAGCATTGCCATCCCCCCTCGGGGGTGATTTCTTGCTTTCTGTCTCTCTGTCTCTCTCTGTCTTTCTGGCGAGCACATGCGCCCTATAGCAAAAACATATCCAAAAAGAAAAAGAAAAAAAAGGAAAGAAACACATTGGGCACATGTGCATACCTGCTTAGTCCTGAGAAGAGAATGGACAAGAAGAGATTGTGGTGTGGACATCCCCCCATGGGATGTTTTCACACTTTTTGTCTCTCACTCTCTCTCTTCTCTTTTGGGTGAGTGCATGCACTTTATAGCAAATTTTTAAACACATAATAAAAGGGGAACATGTTTTTTAAAATTAAGCTGAATTAAACAGCCTCAGAACCGAACTCTCTCTCTTTGACCTTCTCTCTCCACTCCACACACTGCCACCCTTCTGTATCTTGATCATCTTCCATCCTTTTTCTCTCATGAAGGGCAAGGAGGGACTTTACTCTGATCAGCCATAACCTGCCTAAAATTGGACCCACTAAAGAACAAAACAACTGCTTTTTTGTTGTTGTTGTTTGGAGAGGTTTTTTCTATAGGGCACATGTGCTCGCCAGAAAGACAGAGAGATACAGAAAGACAGAAAGCAAGAAATCACCCCCTGGGGGGATGGCCACGCCGCAATCCCTTCTCCTCCATTCTCCTCTCAGGATCTTGGGCACGCACGCACACGTGCCCAGCATATGTTTAAGCCACTGGGTCCAGGACTCGAACCGTGGTCGGCTACATGGGAGTCCAGCAACATAGCCACTATGCTAACTGCTGGTCCCCAAAACAACTGCTTTTAACTCTGTCCTTGAGGTTTTATTAACTAAACTCATATTCAGGAAAGGACGGAAGAATGTCAATACACCTGGACAGATTGTGTCACAAAGGGTCGTCCTTCTCTCAGGCCCATTCAGTTTTCCAAAAGAATCATTTATTCACCATTGACTGAGCATTGGACCCATGATTTCCCCAAAAATGATTTACTCTAAAATTTCCTGCATGCTCCCCTCTCCCCCAATTTTCTTCTCCTCTATAAAGAGGATATTTACACTTTAACCATCTGGCCTATCT